ATGGGAACTACCCTGGACTAATGGGGCAATGGTATTAAACTTAATTTAAAGTCTTAAACAAGTACGGCCAGTGCCCCAGAAAAAATGAAATGAGCACGACACCACCATGAAACGCACATTTTCGGGCAGCGCGAACGTACGAATACTAAACCGCGCGAGACAAAATCTAACGTCGGTAGATGTCGAAAAACAGCAAAACCACACACCCCGAAAAATCGTGAAATCAGCACGAAACCACCATAAAACGCCTCGATACTAAGCCAGCCGCCCCCCGCAGAAATGCTCAAACAAGCACGAAACCATCATAAAACGCGCGTGAAGTAAAGAAAAACGCGCCGTCGAATACGCGACAACTTCTTAGTAGTAGTAGGAGTAGTAGTAGTAGTAGTAGCAGTAGTAGCAGTAGTGGAAGTAGAGGCAGAAATAGCAGTAACAGAGGTAACAGTAACACTATTAGTAGCGAAAGCACTGATAACACAATAGCAGGGAAAGTAGTGTAGTAGTAGTCGCCGTTGTCGTCGTGGTGGTCGTCGTGGTTGTTGTGGTGAGCAATAGTAGCAGGAGCAGTCGCAGTAGCAGTTTCAGTAGCAGCAGGAGGAGTAGGAGTAGGAGTAAGAGTAGGAGTAGGAGTAGGAGGAGGAGGACTAGTAGTAGTAGGGACTTCTCGCGTAGTTGATGGTAGGGTTTTCTGCTCATTTGCATGTAATCATGGCAGGCGCAGCATTCCGCATTAGAGGCACGCAAGTTTCCAGGGCGGCAAACTTTTTTGTTTTTGCCGCAAACTCAGTTTACAGCAAGCAGCATGTCTATAGCAGAGGTCGCCTTGGATTAATGGGGCGCGCCTTGGACTGATGGGGCGAGATAAAATTAAATCAGAAGTCCTCAAACCCTTGGACCAATGGAGTGTACCTTGGACTAATGGCGCGATGCTGAAATTCAATCAGAACTCCTCAAATCCTTGGATTAAAGGGGCGTACCTTGGGCTAATAGGACGATGATAAAGAATCCTGACACCCATGTATGCCAAGATCTAAGAACCGGAGATTTCATAAAAAAAAACAGCAAAAACAACGCTCCTGAAAAAGCGTGAAATAGGCACGAAGCCACCATAAAACGCGCTTTTTACTAAGCCAGCCGTCCCCCCCAAGAAATCCTGAAACAAGCACGGAAGCACCATAAAACGCTGGTGAAGTAAAGACAAGCGCACCGTCAAATACGCGTTAATTTCTTAATTATTATGATTAGTAGTAGGAGAGCAACAGCAGCACGAGGAGGAGGAGGAGGAGGAGGAGGAGTAACAGTCGTAATAGTATTAATAGCAGCGGCAGTTTGCAGTTTCATTTTTGCTGTCTCTGCCGTGGTTTCTTTCTTCGGACACTTGCTTAGCTAGCTTAGCTTGGCTGGTCGGTTATGGATTGGCTAGGTCTGGTTCGGGCAGTGTGCTAAGACTACTCGACTGGGCACTTTTTTTTTTGGCAGACCGTTGCGCATTTATGAGGACCTTGCAAAAGTTTGCTTCCATCACAGCTGGCACATCTTGTCCTTGAAAGTGCATGTTCTCCCTTGCTTTCCAACACACCGTTGATAAAAGACTTGACGAATTTGTACTGTCAGGTGCAAAGAAATGTAGAGAGTAGTTTTGGAACCCCGATGCTACCCTCAGTGGGGATGCGTGCGGCCTCTAGAAGAAGAGAATTAAGAAGAGCAGCTTTCACAATTTTTATTGGAGAGCCCGAGCTCACCCTCTGCTGGAGTTGATGCGCTGAGGCTAGACCCTCCAACGTACAAGTCGCCTGAGAGCACATACAATGTGACTAGACTGCATTGCATCTCAAAGATTGCCTGCCTTGGCTAGAGAGATCAGACTTGTGGGCTTTGTCTCTTGGGGGTCTCAGCTTACTTCCAATGTCTGATCCTTTTGCGAGAAGCATCCATTCATTAGTTAGCCTGATGCAAGTACTGCAATACTTTGTCTGATTCCCCTCCTATGCTCTGATTAGTACATGAAGCGGCTGCGGTTGAAAAGTTGGGCGCCCAGGTGAACGAGAGCTGGGTGCTGCCAGCCGTCTCAAGACTGAATGGTAGGCCTGAAGTGGCAGCTGATGGGCAAATTGTTCGGGGCTTAGTGTCAGGATTAGCCAATCGTTCTCCCAGGGTTTAGTAGGTCTCAATTGCAAGTGATCAGAGACAGGTTTATGTTTTCGATGACTTGCAGACAACAGCCGGCAAGAGCCTCAGCAAAGATAGGTGGCAGGTGGGTTCTTCCACACCCCTGGCTTGTGAACACGTTGGTGTCTCGCAATGTGCAGGCCAGTCTTCTTCGCGCAAGCCGCCATCCATTTTAGAGGCACTGCGCGCAAAGCGTGTGCCCGAATCATTGACTTTTTTGTGTTTTGATTCTTGCTTTAGGAGGAGGAAGTTCCTTTCTCACTGGCGGATGAGGGCAACCTCACCCTCGTTGGTTTGCTAGGCGGCTTTGGTGTTTGCCTTGCACCGCAGTTCTTCTGGTGTGCATGTATTGCTGAGCAGCAGGTGTGGCAAACCTTCTCGGGGCCGACACTTGTCTACTTTGTTCTAAGACTAACAGGCAGCACGAAGATATGCCGCTGCCATGTCAGGCCTATCTTGGTGCTCAATTCGCGGGTCTTGCAGGCTACAAGCTGGTAGGCCGGATTCTGCAAAAGGTCTTTGGCTGATCTGTTTCGGAGCTTTCGGAGCCAGGCTTCCTGGGTGCAGTGAAGGGCGCGTATCCGGGCTTGCTTGCTTATGCAGTGAGCTTCTCAGGATGCTTGTAGCAGCTGGCCACGTTTGCTTCAGTCAGACCAAGTGCTGTGACCGACATACGGTTTTTGGTTTTGGCAATCGAGTCTAATGATTGGAAGGTTTGTTGACGGGAGCAGATTTTTACGGTGGGGATGTTGCAGGGAAGGGACTCATTTTCTGAACCTGCATGGTGCTAACAGAAGCAGTTCAAAAAGCAGAAGCAAACCGTGGCAGGATGAGCAAGCCTTTGCACATTTGGAGGCTTCAGTCGCAGGGGATGGTGTCCAGGAGAGGAGGAGAAGGAGGTGGAGAGCCCAGTGAACTTTCTTAAGATTCTAAGGTGGGCTTCTTTGCTGCACCGGCAGTGCGCTTCTTTGGTCTGGGCAAGACTAATGGAAGCTGGGCTGCAAACGGCAGATGATAAAGATCATATGTCGAACCTGCAGACATTACGCGCGGTTTGGGTGCAATCATGTTAGGGTCATACATGGCTGAGATTTGGGTTGTACCAGTGCTTGCTCCCTGCAGCTTGGCCGAGGTGAGATTCAGCAAAGGAATAACAACCGCAAAGAATGGCTGAATGTGCTACGGTCTGGTGCCGTGGATGGAAAACTCGCGCAGGCCAAACTCAGAGATGGGTTAGACAAGGTGCCGAAGAAGTGGGAATTTCATGGTGCCCAAGGCGAGACAGCTACGGCAAGGCATGAGGGAGATTGGCCAAGGGGATGCTGTCTACAGTACTGCGAAGGACTGAATGAAGCGTACGTTGAGCAGATGTGTGTGTGGCACCATGCAGAACCTTGAGATGGGTTCATTTCAGGAAGCGGAAGGCCAATCGGCTAAAGGTGAATTTGATGACTTCGATCGCCGACTGCGTGGTTGAGGCGTCACATTGTCACCTTTGTAATCTACTTAGTGAACAGCACCAGCTTGTGCTGGCCTTAGCTGCGCTAGCAAAAGACCAGAGGTCGGCGACAGCATAGGGCACCGGCCCAGTGAACAGATGAGGCTGCTAGCCTGGTACAGATACATGGCTCTAAGGGCCGATGTACACGCGATTTGTGCTCGCATTCTAGAAGACATGGTGCAAAAGTCACATGCCATATGATTTAATTGCAGGTATGTAGATCCAGCAAGGAAGTGAAACCTCGCAAGCCCGAGGGCACGCCCTCTGGAATCTTGAAGACCCGGTATCATTATTTTGGACCCGTAGTTGTCACGTGTTTGCACAGTTGGATTTGTTTTGTTTCCTTGCTGCTCAAATTGTTTTGACTACCTGCTGGCCGATTGATAAGCCATCGTGCTGAAATATGATGTCAGCTTCTGTGTACCTGGCTGACAATCCATGTCATAGATGCTGGGTTGAGCAGTGGAAGGAAAATGCTTGAAGACTCTGGCTGGACTTGTTTGCGATTAATTCCACGTGGGCTGCTTCTGTGTCCCAAGCGGTGACAGGTAACAGACGCAACGCGAACTCCAGCCCTACTGGAGCTTCAGGCTGGGCAATCTAGATTTTGTTCGCCTGGGGAGCTCATGTGCTTTCTGAAGCAGTCACATGTTGCCATGTAGGCAGCGCAGGTGTACAGGCACCAGAGTATGCAGAGGCAGGAGTGCCGGGTTCCAACGAAACAAAGATTGATGGCATGTTTCGCCCTGCTGGCAGCTGTTTGGTGCCGAGCTTTAGCCAAGCGGTGGATTTCGTTGGCAAACTGTGCAGGTGATGCTGAAGGTCCACAGCCGCCGTACTACAGATGTTTGTACGCTATGTACATTTGTTCTGCCACCCGGCTTTCATTTGCCACTGTTGAAGAATTTTGATGAGAAGGATGCTCTTACTGGTTGGCATAAGAGCAAATTATGCAGTAGTCAGCAGGAAAGTCCTGGTGATGTTTGTGCGTGTGTTTTTCCAAGGTATTGGGCGGGAATGCTTCGGCCTCAGCTCTTCTGAGCAACTTGTGGGCAAGCTTTGCGCGGTGTGCAGACAATTGCATTGTTGATGTGTTTGTGAGTCCAGGCCAGGGCCAAGCTTATATTCATGATCCAAAGCTGTTCCATTCCAGCGTGCCATGAAGGAGGGCTTGGACATCATAACCTCAAGAGAAAATTCGAGGGGTCCAGTTCTGGAAAGAAAAAGAGGGATCCAGAACTACTGCTTGCAGCTTTGGCATGGCGCATTTCCCAAGCCAATTTGTCACGTGAGCTCAAAGGTGTGGGATCACCTACTGTGGTCTTGTGAATGGAGACCCTAGAAGGCTATACCACAGTCACCGCCTCAGCTGGCTCCTGTGGTGTGGCACGAACTTTTTTTCTGCAGCCTCCAGCGCCCGCTTCCAGGTTTCGATTATGGTGGCCATCTGTGTGGCGTAGACCCGGGCTACGAGGACAAGGGGCCGGAAGCTGGGCTGTTCCCGGAGGCCACGTGGCAGCATATTTCGATGGCAAGCACTTGAGGCTCCTTTATTGGCCACGACCGGAAGAGCCGGAGTATGCTGTTTGCATCGCGAAGTGCCCAGACTCAGAGCTGGTGCCCTGGTAAGCAGAGTTGTGAGGAGTTCCTTTCAGGTCTGGGGCAGACGATTGTGTTCAAAATGAAAAGTTCAGGGTTGACAAAGACTTCCCCTAGGACACCGTGACAGCTCTCCAGGAGGACCCCGTGGGGGCTGACTTGCCTGCAATGCTTTGTGGATTCTGCACATCCTCAGACCTTGCTGTCTTGAAACCCAATGCTTCTTGACTGGGTGAAGTCGCTAAAGTTCCCAGCCTTACCGCCAGGAAGCTGCAGTCAGACATGGAGCAAGTGGAGTGGAGACTGCAACTATTACTTCCAAGGAAGTCCAGATCTCTACTTATCCGTCCAGGTGGGCTCCATGCTTTGAACTCAATGCATGCATCCCCTGCCAACTGTGTGAGGGAGATTGGTGGCCGCGTTTGCTTGCCACTTTCACTGGCTGACGGCCTGGATGGCGGAAGAAGACCGCCAAGCACAGCGGCGGGGACGTCTTCTTTGGAATGGCCCAGGCCTCCTGCAAATGCCGTGCACCCTGCTAGCATGGAGAAATGAAGCATTTCCCGTGTCCTGTCATTTGTCGCTTCACTTTGGTGTCTGTGCCATCTAGTAGCCGAGGCCATTTCCAACGGAGCCCCCGACGACCCACATGCCAACAACCAGCAAGGAGGCGGTCAACCCTTTCTCGCTTCACGGCGGTTCATTCCATCAGAATCCATGGATCCACCCCCCAAACCCAAACCCCTTCCCTGAGCAGACAAGAAGCGGGCGACCGCGCATTGGCGACTTCCCTGGGCTGCTGCCCCCAAAGCTGCGCTGGCCCCTCCCAGGAGGGAGCCCAGAAGTGCCTGAGGAGCAGCTTCCTGGCACTTTACCAAGCAAAGATGGCAGCTCCCAAGCCAAACAGGATACCAAGGATTCTCATGCAGCCAAAGGGGTGGCCTTAAGTCAGGAGCCAGAGCACAAAGATCACCACAAAGAACACAAGGACAAGGACGAGGATGGCACTGTGAGTGCGCCTGATGAGAAGGATGAGGACAAGGCCAAGGACAAAAGCGAGCATGAGAAAGACAAAGCTGGCCCTACAAAGAGTCACCAGAACGAGGGTGAGAAGCACAATCATGGCAGGAGCCATGCCGGCAACCAGGCAGGAGATCATGACGAGGACAGCAAGGATAAGGGTAACAAGGACAAGCATGACAAGGACAAGCATGACGAAAGCAAAGATAGCAAAAGCAAGCATGACATTGACGAGGATGAGAAGGATGAAGATGCTGAGGACGAGGATGGGCACAGGAACAAGGACGAGTCGCCACACGCTAGTGGTCCTGATGTTGACAAGGATCGGGAGGAAGCCCTCCAACGCAAGAAGGTGCCCAGGGAGCATCACAGCAGCCGGAAACCAGAGGCAGAAACGGTCGTGGTGACAACGCGTATGCCGAAAGAGACCGACGTTGAGAAAGATGTAGCGGCAGCTGCAGATTTTTCATGGCACCCCCATGTGCAATCAAGAAGGCTAGGTGCTGCCAATGCTTACGCTGACTAGAAGCATGGAGATATTTCAGTGCAGGTTGTGGGAGGATGCTGAGAGGTCTCGTGCTCAGTGGTGGCTACACTGACAATACCAGTGATGCCTGTGATCAAAGGCCGATGGTCGTACTGGGTCATGTAGCCGCTGAGGATGTCGGATCGCACGAAGTTGGCCAAGCTATTGTCCCAGGCCATTCTTGGCGTTGTTCTGTAATTGTATTGTAGAAGAAGTAGCTTCCGAACTGCTGCCATCTGCTGCCACTTGGAGTCCGCAATTCCGGGTTGAGTCTGTCGCAGGATCAGGGGCCGGGCGCGTGGCTGCGCAAGGTTGCCTGGGACATTGCTGGTGCTTGGCCGGTCGTTCCTTCCCCAGCAAGTGCTGCGGTGTGGTCCAGTCTTACTGCTGCCGCAGAGTGCACGTCATGCATGTTGCCACCAGACACATTGGAAGCAGCAAAAACAATTCCCTGTGATCGCAGTTGGTGGTGCTCGGCGTTGTTTTTGCAGCCCTGCAGGGTGTAGCTGGCTTGCTTAATATATCTGAATGTTGCGCATCTCAAGTCAGATATCCTCTGTGCAGACATCGGCTTAGCAGATGTTTGCAGGAGCACGCTTTGTGCACCCAGCCAGGTACAGGGTACCTGGCATTCATGCGATTCTGCGTCGCCAGTCCCAGTTTTGTCCTGGCTCCTCTCCAGTTTTCGTTTCGTTTTTGAGCTGCGAGGCTTGCCCATTCACCTTCGGCATCCTTCTCCTTCTGATTTTCGGGACTGTTGGCATGGCTGTGTTGCTTGGCTGTAAACTGGCTGAGCTGCCTTTGTGACGCTGATGCTGCATATGTGTTAGGCGTGCATCCTGCCGCCAAGGTATTGCTTGGCCATCGTACGCACAGATGAGGACACTTTTCTAGGTTCAGCTAGGTTCTAATGTGTCGAAGGGCGCTCACGTCTCCATTGTGTCTGCAGCATGTGCAGGAAAAGGCAGAGGACTTGTGGCTGGGTTGCAGGCATCAAGCCAGACTGCTGCCAGCCTTGCTTCGAGTTGACGACAATTTCACATCGCTGTTTCGACACAGATTGCCAGACTCAGGTTTGGGCGATACTCAGTATCCTGTTTGCATTTGTCTGGCAGCTCTGGAGCACAGAACTGGCTCATTGCCTGTGAATTTCGTACAATAGCAGGTGTACCATTTTTGCAGCTGAGGACCATCCTGTTCTGCTCACCCAGGTGGTTGGTTGGTCGTCCGGAGGAGCTGTACGCGACTGCAGCCATTCAGCATGCGGAGAGTTTTTCTGAGCATGAGAGGGACGAGTTCAGGAGTCTCTATTTTGCTTTTTGCCATCTCCCTGGCAATTTTGCCGACGATGCGCCGGGCTATCGGCTGCATCGATGGCGCTGCGCAGGCCATTTGGGAGGAGCCCCCGCTTCATGGCAGCAGTCAGATACACAGGCAAGGCGAGCATAAACTGAATAATTGCAGTACTGCTATGCACTGGCTATGCAGTGTCGTGCAAGGTTGCTGCGGTTACCGGCCATTGAGATGGTGATAAAGATTCTCTTCTCTGTGAGCTGGCGTCCTGTCTTAGCTTCAAGTCGAATGCTCTGGACCTGTGATGTCAAGTTGTTGGTGAGCCCAGCAAGCATTCATGGCAGCTGCTTTTCGGAGCAGCCATAAAAGGGGTGTCTCCCCTGCCAGCTGGTAACTGCAAGGGGGGTTTCTTGTTCAGGAGAGCAGAGTAGGGTTTTTACTTCACCAAGAAACACAGCGACGCGTCGCTGCCAATGAGGCTGATCTTTTTCAGCTTCGTTATCACAAGCGGCGAAATTGATGCTTGACTGGTATATGATAGTATAATACGGTATATCATACTATAACATACTTCAATTTATTATAACCTACTATAGTATACGATAGTATACTATAGAATACTATAAGATACTATGATGTTCAGTTATAACATACTATGGCAACACACCGTAAATTGCTACACGCTTGGCTTTTTAGTTTGCTTTAAAAGCAATGATGCCGCGGAGCGGGAGCTGAAAAGCTTATCAACTTCAGCTGTTTCTTTTGTGCAGTTCCACGAACCAGGATGCTGCTGAAAGGTTTGCCATAGTGTTTTATAGTATATACCATAATATCTTATAGTATACTAGTGTACTATAGTATATTATAGTATATTAGAGTATATTATTATGGTTTCATATACCAGAAAGTACTAGGGTGCACCTTGCTGCAGGATCCCCCGACCTTGGACGTCAACGGAACACCTGTCTACACGAGGATTCGAAGGTTCAGTTCAACGGCTCTAGAGAAGCCCATGCCTTGGAAGATCTCCCTTATGTATATTGTATATTATAGTAAACTATAGGGTTTAGGGTTTAGGGTTTGTATAGTATACCATAATATACTATGGTATACTATAATATAGTATGGTATACTATAATATAATATAATAGACATCGAACCATCTGGAATCGTGCGTAGACCGCTAATGCAATCCTCTTTGTGGGGCTTTCTGTGTGTTCCATTTGTGTTGAGTGGAGGGCGTTGCAATTGCAAGGACAGCTTGTGCGAAGTTTCTCAGGCCCTGGACTCCATCCCCAATATAATCAGTATATATATATATATAGAACATCAATATGGTATATATATATATGGAATATTAATATGGTTTCTTCAATGTAGTAACTTGAATTAAATCCCAATGATCATTACTCAGATCCACAGAGTCCTAGAGAAATCTCTACTGTCAAGACAAGCTGCAAGCTGGAGCTGAGTCTGCTCTCCATCCTAAGGTTCTACGTCGTGGTGTACGTTGGAGGACCCCCCTCCCTGCAGATGCACTTAGGACTTAGGATGCAGATGACGCAGAAGCTACAGCCATCTAGAGTTGCTTCTGGTCTGTGTTTGTTGAGCAGCCTACAGAACGCATGCACTGTTCAGAGGATACCTCTGGACGCTGGAAACGCTTAGCCTGGTCTTTCACTTTGCAGTGGTCGGCCAAGCTGTGTGCATTATCCTAACGCTAAGTGCGACTCAAGTAGAAGTAGTAGTAGTAGTAGTAGTAGTAGTAGTAGTAGTAGGAGTAGTAGTAGCAGTAGTAGTGTTGGTGGTCTTTTCATGTTTTGATAGTGCAGCATTCATGTCCGTCATCTTTGTATGTATGGGCCATGAGCCTGCTGAGGCCAGCTTCTATGCAGTGAGCTGGTATTTCACGCCGTGCAGGTTCCTGGGCCATAGCTTCATAACCCGTAACGCAGCACGCGCATAGCACATAACTGAAATTGTTTGTAGGCGTAATCAGGTCCTACAAATGCTCCAAACTAGCACATGCGAGAACGACCTAAAGGCTTTAGATTAAGAACGTTCTCCTTGATAAAACTCTTGCAAACAGCGGCTTGGAGTCTTGCAGAGCTACTCTCATCATACGGGATCAGTAAAAGCCGCTAGGGTCCCACAATGTGACACCTGTGTTTCATATGAAAATCGATCTCCCTCTGTCTCCCCCTCTTTCTCGCTCTCTGTATACAGACAGTGAAGGCACTTCGGGTTTGCGATTGCACAAGCCAATTCAGCACCATGCCCAGGGCTGACGGACAAAAAGCGGGTCTCGAAACCCGACTATGGCGGACTGGGGTGGCCTATGCTCTCAGGCTGGGCCTTTGACCGGGCCTTGCTGTGAACATAGTCTTCATAGTATGACAAAGCATTGAACAAGGTAGTGCCCGTTTCGTTGGCTGGGATGGTCAGCGAGAGTCTACAAACCTGCAGCAACATTGCCTGTGTGTCACGTCCAAGAAGCTGAAGGTACCACCTGGGCAGTATGGCCATGGGAGGCTTGATGACTATGCTCTTCCGCCAGGGTCCAGAGGGATGATTGCGGGCCGATGATAGTGAATAGTGGAGCAAATTCAAGATGGCAGATCCTATAGGTATTTTCATGTGTCAGAGGCAACGTGGATGCTTGTGCGAAGTACGCGCCTCCCTCCCTCACCTAGGCACTCATCATTTGTTGTTGTTG